AAATGCAATGATTTATAAATAAATAGCAATATAAAGCTGCAATTACTTAGATAACAAGTTAAGTAATTTTTGATACCTGCAGCAATCACATGAATCGAGCTTCTTATCGAGCTTAATGTCGAGCTTGTTCACGAACTTCAAATGATGTTGTTCGCGAACATAAATGAGCCTAACGCATTAGTGTTCAAGTTTGTTTATTTAAGAATCGAGTATTTAAAATATTGTTCAATTTTGTTTGTTTAGTTAATTAAACGATCACAAACGAGCTTTAATCGAACCGAACAACGAGTAGCTTGTCGAACGTTTGGTTCGCTTGCAGCCCTAGCTGTAGCTCCTCGTGCTCTGACCATGTATCATCTGCCTTTGGTTTACCTCTCCACCTAATCAAATACCCTTTTCGACCATCCTCTTTTGCAGCAATAATATCATCACTTAAAATCATGCCAACCTTCTCCGCTATAGGTATTTTAGAAATATTTAGGGGTGGAGGTGAGCTTTGATTCTCACAAGGTGGGGTTACACAAGGCTCAAATTGAAGTGGATTTGGCGGGTTACACTCCAGATCCTCATAGGCAACCATATCTTTTATGTTAAATGAGGGATTAATGTTGAATTCTGCAGGCATATCCACCCCGTAAGCATTATCGTTAATTTTCTTGATTATTTTGAAAGGCCCCACACTTTTGGCATGTAACTTCTTCACAATTCCTTGTGGGAACCATTCCGGACGAATCTGCACCATCACTGAGTCACCAACCTCTAAGGTTTTAAATCTTTGTTTAAAATCAACAAGAAGCTTATAATTAATGTTGCTTCTGTTCCATTTTGCGTGCAATTTCCTTATGTAAGTCATGCATATGCAATGCAAATGAGAATGCAAGAGACTCGGTGTGCATGATGATTGACATGGATTGTGGACTCACACAAAGTTTTAAACAGAGGGAAATTTTGGACGAAAACAGACACACACACACATACTGACTCACAAACACATAGATATGGATAAAGATGTATCAGTCACAAAATGAGAGGACATAAGATTTTCATGTTTAAGGGAACGGGTGTAGGATGAGCAATGAAGACATCCTTAGCCAAAAGAGTATTCCCATAGAGAGTTTCAGTTAGGGTCATAGATAGTGTCCTAGGGGCAGCAGGGTAATCTAGCAAAATTGTCCAACTATGAGAGAGATGGTCCTTAACAGTGAAGGACAAGAATATGGAGGACATAACGGAGGAATCATGAACATGATCAGACGATGGGTCCTGACTCACAACCATAATGGGATAGCCCAAGGAGTCACCAGCAGGTATGGGACTCAAAAGATGGGGTAGAGTGTCCAGAACAGAAGTGGGCACAACAGATAGAGAGGTAACATGAAAGTAAAGGCTAATATTCTCTCTAACATTAAAGTCGGTACGATGAATGATGAGATAAGTCCCATCAAGATAGACATACTCTCAAATATAAATCTAAAGAAGCAACTCCTAAAACAGATTCCAATAAAACAAGAGGATGTTCATCTTCCAAATTAGGCTCAGAATAATTCAGATTCAGATTACTATCTTCCGAAATCAATTTCAATATGCTCAAGGTCATATCAATTTCTTTCGGGATCAAATTAATATCATCCGGGCAGACCTTATCCAACGGGATATCCTTGATGAGACTAGTATTAGGATGGGCTAAGGTATCAATGCTCAAAGGTTCTAAATCTCCTACATCAGGATCTAATTCAATCAATTCAGTTTCATCATCAAAGAAATCCTCGTCATCAATGATATCATTAGTATCCACGAAATGGATGCACTCAATTTTAGGTTTAAGGGACATTTTCTGACAGGGATGGCTAGGAGTCAGCCCAAGTGGGGAGTCATATGGGACCAATCCAACAGAAGACCCAATAGAGGGTCGACCATCAAGGCTAGGTGGAGACCTACAGAGTGGGGCAACAACCCTGATGTCACTAAGGTATGGGTGGTCTTGACCACAGTGATGTCCACGGTTTGTCCCAACAAAAGAGGCAGAATGATGTTCTAGATGAAGATCACTGGTGTTGGGGTAAGGTGAGTGGGAGGTGGGAGAGGGAGATATTTTAACTCAAGTTCTCGTCTCATGCTTTTCCAATCAGAAATAGGGTATTCACCATGAAACTCTCTATGATCTTCTACCCTCATCCAAAACTGACAAGCGCGACCGTTTAAGCCAGCCTTAGCAATGTTCACCCGGTGGGACTCAGGAATCTCATGTGTTTCAAAATAGTCTTCTAACTGTCTAACACATTCCTTAAAGTAGTAAAGATCCGAGGAACCATCAAAGGTGGGCAGACGGTTATGTGACTCTAAGTGAGGTTGTTGCGGCTTGAGCTTAGGACTAGGACGATAAGCTAAGTGAGTAATTTTCCGACTAACATGATTGAACGAATGAGGCACATACCTAGAGTGGGAAGAGTCAACATGTTTCTCCTTCATGGTTTGAGTTATAGAGCCCACTAGGTTAACTAGGTCATCTAACTTCTTTTAAAGTCATATCAGGTCCATTGGAAGCGCTAAGTGAAACCTAATGAAGATTAAGTGCAAGTGACAACATTTAGACATTAAGAAACTAGCCTAACATTCACTAGATGTGTGCATGAATGATGTGGACAGCAAACATAACAGTAACTTAAACTAGTTTAAAAGATGATATGCATGCAACAAAACATAAGAAGGGTTATGAATGCTCCTAGGATGACTTCTAGCACATGTAACGCATGCTAGCCATACTCTGATACCAGATGACGCAGGACATATATGAAAATATGATTTAAATAAGAATTTTGTATGCTTGATGATTAAGAGCAAGTTAACTAAAACTTGAAGATGATTTAGACAATGAAATAAAACACAAAGAGCGATAACAAAAGCATAGGCCAAGTCACTTGCGAAAAGTAAAAACCCACAAACAATCAATTACTCTTGACGTTGCATATGAGATGAGTTTCAACAAGAAATCCCTAGTCTAACAATAAGAGTAGTGCTATGAAAGATCTCTCACACACTTCCTACCAAATACTAAGCTTTTAGCGGAGCTTGGCAAGATTTTGCATGAATCAAATAAAACCACAAGCAATGATCAACAAGGAAAGTAAGAGAGGAGGTAAGAGGTCACCCTTTGTTAAAATTCAACCTTCTCAAATGCTTGGACAATAGTTGGTAGCTTTATGACCGCAAGACTGTTGTTATTCTCTTGCTGGAATTGGTGGACAGCAAGCTGTCCTTCTTGGACAGCAGTTGGAAAAGAACTCCTGCTGGTCGGGAGGCTAGGGGAAGATGCTGGAGTTCCTGGACAACACACTTCAACGTCCGGAAATCCTCGGGCAGCAATTGGAGCCTTCTCCAAACATCTGGACAGCAAGGAGGGCAGTTAGAATTCCTGGACAGCACCTGTACAGGGAGTAAACAGCTGCTAGGGTCCCGTCTGGATAGTATTATTGCTGAGCTATTGCCTATTGCTGAGTTTGGGAGTCCGGGTAGCTTCCTTTCAATCCAGAATTTCTGGACAGATGTAGAACTAGTCAGAACTAGGTGGGGAAACTAATGGGTGGAGAGAATTGTGCTTAGGATTAGGGAAAATCAAAGGGGCGGCAGCTTAGGTTGAGATTGGGTAGGGAATTAATGAGAGTAATTATGGAGATTAAGGGGATTGGAAAGAGGAAGTGGGCCGGCCATACATGGGGATTTAATTGGGGGGATTTAGAATTGCTTTCCAAACTTAGGTGGCTAATTGTGGAAAGAGAATTAGAGAGAACTCTCTAATAAATTTTAGATTTGAGAGGATTTGGGAGTTTCCAAAAATAAATCAATCTCATTAGGAAAGGATTTCAAATTCAATTTAATTGGAATTTGAAAAATTAGAATTCTTTCCAAAGTTAAGATGATCTAAATTAGGAAAGTATTTAATTATTTCTCACATGAGAGGTTTTATTTTGAAAGATACTACTACTCCTTGTATTGTTTTCTATTTATTTTGGAATTTTCAAAGCTCTCACCATGTGATTTAGCCTAAGCGGATAACCACTAATTGTTTTGATTCATTGTTTGAATTCGCTAGTAGTTTTTGTTCTAGAATTATTCTAATCATAAGTTGTGCAAAATCCATATGAGTTGAAAGTGCATCTCATTTACGTAGTCCTGCATCAGTACAGAAAGACTAAAAGAACTTGTTCAGGAAGATCAGGAAAAAAGTATACTTTTGTCCTCCCTACCAAGCTTTTTCCCCTCCAAAATTCAATCTAGAATTCTTCTAAGGACAGCATTTCACATGCAAGGAGAAACTAAAGTTATTCCTATTATAGGTGCAGTAAAGAACCACAGAAATTAGTTGTTATTTTCGGTTATTAAAAAAATAAAGTTGGGAACGACACTATCACATCTAAGCTTCCCATGTAGTAAACTTTATTAACAAAAGTAGTCATGAAGTAAACATATCGGAGACTCATCTAGCACTGCAGCATATCTAGAGCAGTAAACATATCGGAGACACGTCTAGCACTACAGCATAACTAGAGCAGAATAGCCACTCGCTCCTGGGTCTACTATTGGCTCCGCACGTACTCCTAATAATTCCTCTCGCTAATGAGGGATGAAATAAAAGGTTTGGCGTACGCAGAAAATCAGTGATAACTTTACAAGAGGAAAAATGGATGATTAACACCAACATACAAATCAACTAAGCATAAAATTTTTCATATCAATTAGAGTTAAGCACACGACATTACAGAGTAAATAAGAAATCACAAACCAAAGACTAAAAAATATAAAATTCTTCAAACGGGAACAAAGTTTTATTGCGAATTAGTTAATCACTACAAAACGAGAATGCACAAACATATTTAATACATACAAAACGACTAGTCCAATTAGAGCACAACGAGAATCCAGTAGCTTAATCCGGCAGTAAACGAATCCGAAGCCGGAAACGGCAGAATAAGGGAATAAAGCTTAAGTAGGAAAATCTCTACCGCATCTTCGCCCGAAGAGACCTCACCCTCCTCTCTGGATTTAAGGGATTTCAATTCGCCTCCGCCACAGCCTCCTCCTCCAGAAATGGCTGCCGCTGTCGATGACGAATTAGGGTTAGTAGAAAACGGCATGGAGGCGATTGCCTTAGCCCTAAGCTCCTCAATCTCCTCCATTGCACCTCCCGACCTACCGAATAGTGTAGTTATTCGCAGCGCCTACGCGCCGCTCCGCCGACAAGCAAAGTGAAACGAAATGCCCTCAGGCGCCGCTTTTAAAACCAAATGTAAATGACTAATCAGCCATGGATTTCACGAGATCATCTTCAAAAATGAAGACCCGTCACTCTTGCATGCTTCGTCTTGGCTAGTGCTAGTGCCCTCGGAACTAAACTCGGCGCCCACAGCGCACATTTGGTTAGCTGTGCTCTACTCAGGATTCTAACATATTTGGCAATCTTTCTATTTTCTCTACCATCTAAATTATTTATATATATGCTATATATAATCATAATCTTGCCTTTTTTTTTTATTACAATAAACTTTCATAATCTGTTCTACTTCGTGCATCTTCAAATCTTATTTCGCTATTAAGTCATATTTTTCTGTGTCACATCCTTCACTTGAAGAGTTTTAAAAGACTCGCTAAAGAAGCTTATTCGCCTTCTCTAAGAAATACATGTCAAAATGGAAATCGGGTGATTGCTGCCAAGGTAGCGATCTTTTCCTTCGACTATTCTCCATACATTTTCTCTCTTTTGATTTACATGATTTGCATGAAGAAGAGGTTTCTAAAAAGTCGCTAAAGAAGCTTCTTCAACTTCTTCTGCGATGATGTTCCAGCCAATTGAAAGGCACGACGACATCCAAAATTATACGATGATAATTATTTTGTGGCAATTTTTTCTTTTTCTATCGAAATTTATCTCTTATGTTTCACTCGCTTCACGTGAAGAAGAGTTACGAAATAGGTACTAAAAAAGCTTCTTCACCTTCTTCTACAACTTTGTTCATGTCGAATCGAAAGTCAAGACGCCATTCAAGACCATGTCATATCGAAATGTTTTTCCCTTTTTCCATCCCTTGGCAAGCATGCATCATGGATTGTAGGTATTTTATAAGTAATATATGATGTTTATTTAATCCAATATTCAATATGTCATTATTAATCCTAATGAGCTGATCAGATGTTTAATTTATAAAGGCCAATTCTTATTTTAGTTTGAAATTTTATGTTGAACAATTCATTTTTTAATTTATTAAATTTCAATGAAGTAAATTTTTTAATTTTCAATGAAGTAGATATTCCCATATTAGTTAGACATTGAAGTTTTTCATAAAAAAGAAATTTAATTTTTGAAGTCAACCCTTATGCTCTATGTGATGATTTAGATTTAACACTATAGCAAAAAAAATAAGCTATGTTTAGTAAACTTCTGAGAGCTATGTGATGATCAAACTTCTTAGATCTCATTTTATTTGGCTTTTAATTTATTAATTTTATATGAAGTAAATTTATTAACTTTCAATGAAGTAGATGTTCCCATTGTAACACCTATTGAATTTGGGTTCAGTTGCACCTATTTTGGTCACATTTGAAAGATATAATTTTTCGAATCTTGTATTTGAACTCACTTGCATGTGTCTCGGAATGTTTTGGCATGCATGTGAATGTATGAATCTGTTCTAGAACTCATCTCGTTTAACAGACGAGCTTTATCTTTAGCTCGAGTTCAAGCTCGTGGCTCGATAAGCTCGGCTCGAGAGCTCATTATCGAGTCGAGTTCGAGCCGGCTCAAAACAAGTGAATGTAGTAACCCTAGACTCAAACAAGACTCACATACCTGTTGTGGTCTCGCAACTCCTATTTGAGTTTAGTGATACTGCACCTTAAGAACTTTCTGATGAATTACCCTCTCCTATAACTATCCAACATACTATTCACCTAGTTTCATGTTCAAAACTTCCCAACCATTTTCATTATAAAATGAATCCCATTTAACACATTGAAATAAAGAGACAAATTAAGGAGTTACTTAGGAAAGATTTTATAAGAGAAAATTATAGTCCCTATGTTGTCCCGGCTTTATTGACTCCTAAGAAAGATGATTGAAAAATTTGCTTTTAAAACACCTGATGGACTTTATGAATGGTTAGTCATGCCTTTTGGACTTTCAAATGCACTTAGCATATTTATGAGATTGATAAATACTATCATTAGGCCCTTCATAGAAAGTACTTAGTTGCCTACTTCAATAATATATTAATTTTTAGTCCAAATAAGAATGATCATTTGCAACACCTTACACAAGTTTTGGAGACTCTTATGAAAGAGAAACTTTACATTAATTTGAAGAAATTTTATTTTTACAAATCGAAGTGATATTTTTAGAATTTAATATTTTCATTATTGGAACGAAACCTAACCCTTACAAAATTAAAGCAATATTAGACTGATCATTAAAAAAGAGTTTCACTGATGTTATGAGTTTTCATGGCTTAGCCATGTTCTATAGATGATTCATTAAAGATTTTACTGTTATTGTAGTTACAATTACTGTCATACTAAAATTAGATGAACTCTATTGGACTCCAACAACACACCTTTGATCAAATTAAGGTTCTTATGACTTTTGCCCCATCCTTAGGCATCCTAATTTCTCTAAAGCCTTTGAGGTGACTTGTGATGCATTTGAAATTAGAATTGGAGGAATGGTATGTCAAAAAATCACATTGTAGCTTTTTTAGTGAAAATTTTAATGAAGGAAAGTAGAGATATTCAACATATGATACGAAATTTTATGTTGTTATTCAATATTTGAGACACTGGCGTCGCTACCTTCTGCATCAAGAATTTATTCTTAATTCAGATTATCATGCCCTTAAGTTTATTAATACCCAAAGAAAATTAAGTCATATGTATGCCAAATGGGTGGAATTTCTCTAGGATTACTCGTTCGTCCTAAACATAAACATGGAGTTGAAAATAAGCTTGTTGAAACTTTATCAAGGGTAACACCAACAAACTCTTCTTTAAAACTTAAAATTCCAGGTTTTGAGCAAATTAGAGATTAGTACCTAGTGTGTCATAACAGATTTATATTTAGCACTTAGAGAAACCTTTAACCTTACAAGGAACATTCTTAATAATAAACATATATCTTTATCAGGGAAAATAACTTTGCAGCAATAGATCCTCTCTTAGAGAATTTTTAATTTTGGAACTACATTGGGTGGAATTGTTGGTCATTTTGAAAAAGATAAAATAATATATTTAATGGAAATGTGATTTTTTTATCCTTCACTTAAATGAGGTGCTCAAAAATAAGTGCCCAATGTCTAACCTGTGAGCACATCAAAGCCGCAAAACAATGGTTTGGTCAATGTATTTCTTTACCCCTCATGACTTGTAGGACTTGAGAAGACCTCTCGATAGATTTTGTCTTAGGACTTCCCCATACAGCTTGAGGACATGATAACATTTGCCTCATTTCCTACCACAATTAATCTAAAATCAATAATACTTCCCATATTGCTAGACTATTTTTTAATAAAATTTTGCATTTACATGGTCTTCCTTCAACTTTTATCGCTGATTGTTATGTTAGATTTGTTTTATGCTTTTGGAATACCTTGTGGAAATTATTTGGCACCAAAGTGGAATTTCTCGTATGCTTTTCATCCTTAAACTATTTGACAAACTAAAGTAGTAAATTAAACATTAGGAAATCTATTAAAATGCCTTGAAGGAAAAAGCTTATGAAAGTAAGACTTATGTTTGCCTATATATTAATTTGCATATAATAGTACCATTTATAGAACAACCAAAGCTTCACCTTTTGAAATAGTATATTATCAACACCCTAGGCAATCAATTGATGTAACAAATCTACCATCTCATGTATTTTCTGATTCAGCATTCACTTTTATCAAGATCTTTCAAAGTTTGCATGATGTCTTAAGACAACAAAATAATTTCAAGTGATGATAAATATGTTTCTAAGATAAACCATAATTGATAAATAGAATAATTTAAAGAAGGTGATTATGTTTTAATTCGCATTCACCGTAAGTGTTACCAAACATCTAAGTTTAAGAAATTATATGCAAGGGCTTGTAGCCCATTCAAAATTCTTAAGAATGTTGGATCAAATGCTTATCACCTTGATTTGCTTGCTGATATGATGATCCATCTATTTATTAATATTAAATGTGGTTTATCATATAAATAAGTTAGCAAACCTTTACTTGTTCAGTCAAACTCTTTTGCATGAGATATAGTTCTCATTAGCATAATCCATTTTCTAATATTGATTATATCATCATTGAGGATGCACTAATTGATCTAGCTGCTCAACATTATTTTTTTTTTAGTTTGTTGAAAGAATAAACTATTTAGCGATGATACATGACTGACTCATGCTAACTTAGAGATTTTGGTCCTATAACTGGTTGAAGACTACTTAGATTTTAACTCTACAAAGTGAAGTTGAGCTAAGGCCAAGGGACTTGATGTAGCATATCTGCATATCACATGGATAAATGATAATGAAGCTAAATGCCTACTACAAAAGCTACGACTAAAGCTTAACCAAATGATCAAAATAAAAGGTCTAATGACAAGAGCCCAATTAAGAGCTCAATAATTACTTAATAATTTTAAATATTTTAAATATAATTTATTTTTATTTACTATCTAAAAGCTTGTGCGATTGGTGAGATTAGAGGAGCGAGTTGCAGTTAGGAGTGCAAGAGGGAGGGAGAGGGAGCGGTCCGTTCAACTGGGCAATAGAGATTTATGAGCTTAATTTTTATGTAGATTTAGAAGTTCAAGCATATATTACAAATCTCATATTCTTTTTTATTTTATTTGATTTGAGTTTGTATAAGTAGTTGCCTACTTGCATTAATTTATACTTATTTTTTGATGCCACCACACAACATTGTCATGTTTTCTTTTTTTGCAGTTTCTTTATAGTTTTAATGTCATGTATTTTTTTACTTCAATTATTGCTATATATTTGGGTAAAATTAGATGTTTTGCAATAGGCTCTTAAGATAAAACTTATTTTATAAACTTTAATAAATTTATAATCGATTAAAAAATTAGGTAAAAATATTATTTCTTTGAACTAAGGCTCTCTAGTCACTAGTTAATATGAAATTATATTCTTTATTTCCCTTGGACAAAATATGAATTAGTATTATCCAATGATCAAAACCTCCAAGTACTAACACATTTAGAATATTGACAACTCATAATGTATGTAGAGATCTCTCTTACTTAAGGATGGATAAGCTTCTTTGGCAGGCATGAATTTTAATATGTAGAGGTGTCATCTTAGTATGTTAGGGAGCAGTTATCTTGACCTAATTGAGATTATAAAACTAGTTTAGTAGTTGTATTTGTCTATAATTGTGCTATTTTTTTCATTTATTTTTCATAAACATTATTTACACCACTTAGGACTGTTAGTCCTATCTATTTCTAGTTTAATTATTAGAATTCATCTAAATAGTGTTTTTGAGTTTTATTTTCTCAAATTAAATTTGTGATGCTAACTTTAAATGATTCAATTCATAGTTGTTGATAAAGTATTTGACGACTAAGTTGGGTTAACTACCTTCAAAATTAAATAGTTTTAAGCTTAATAATTGGAATGCTGGACTCATAAGGTTCTAACCGAGTTTATTTCTACAGTAATTAGACTCCTTACTACACCCCACCCCTTTTAGGTTATTTTACTTATTTCTAAGTCTTTAGTGATTTGATGATTCATATTATATATGTTTTTTATCTAGACTTATCTCACTTAGTTATGATGATTCACCCTTTGCGCCCTTGTATAGTAATCTATAACAAAGTATAAACAATTTTATTATGCTGATATTCATTTAATCATAGTCATCTTTTTGATAATTAATATAGGCAAATAAAAAAATAGTCATGTTTCATTTATTGAAAGAATCTCCTAGAGGTGTCTAAGGCTTCTTTTGGGACGACTTTTTTACTGCTTTCTAAAACGGAGTTTTAGTACAAAAATAAAAAATTTTGTATTAAAACTCCATTTTAGAAAGCAGTAAAAAAGCCGTCCCAAACGAAGCCTAAGAGTGTAATTAATCTTCTGAAGCCTAGTCTCTTTGGGAGACAAATCAATTGAGATTTTGTACTTGATTCAGCTTTAATAATATGACTAATCATGAGTAGTTTATATAGGTTGAGAAACATTTTATTGATCTTACTCCATTGGATTATGAAATCTCCTATAAAGAACACCCTCATATATTTGCTATGTTTCCCTTCAACAACAATGTATTGGGATGTAGCATTCTTTTTTAGAGCAGTTACTCAATAATACATCATATCATTCTTTAGCTTTCATGGTGTTCTCTCCCATGATAGACTACCTATAGGTATCTAAACAATGCTTCCTCATCTTTTCAAGCAAGGCAAAGCATTAAAAAAAAAAAAACACTATATTTATCATGGTTGAGCAAGACTCCATCTATAATATATTATAAGCCTAACTTTCATACATTATACCTCTCAGTGCACTTCATGAGTGTTTTATTGAAATCTATATTTTTAAGGTTATTGTCTCCATGCAAGTAGTTATTTGTTAGTCAACTCCTTGAGCTCATATTCTAGAATTCATTCTAAGATGGAAATTCTCTAGACCCCATCCAAATGATCAAAGAAAATCCTATAGCCCCTAATGTTTTGTTTTTACCTCCAATATTGAACACAATAGTGTATCCTTAATTTTCGTTATCATTAATCATTCTTAACAATAGTTGTTGAATTAAGGCACTAAACTCTAAAGAACAAAAATTTGAGAGATTTAAAGGACTAAAGGGGGGTATCTTAGCCTTTCCAATAGGATATTAAGTCTCAAATGGTCAAATCACATTATTTATAACACCCAAAGTTCTATATACGAGGCAAGTGATATTATGATCTTATATAAGTGTTAAAACAACTCAAATGCGACAATGCCATATATGATAATAAGGGAAAATTAAATCAAATTGAACCCTAATTGATCGATGTTTGAATCATGCTCAAATCTTATTTGAACCACGTTCAAACCATTCTAAAAATTTTTGTTTGAACCACATTTGAATCAAGCTTGAATTTTGTTCGACCATATGAACCATTATCGAACCTTGTTTAAACCAGGCTTGAATCTTATTCGAGTAATACTCAAACATTGCTTGTACCTCATTCATTTTGCTAGAAAGTTCAAATAAGGTTCAAACATGTAATATGATGTCTATTGTAATTCTGGCCTTAGGGTTTATGTTGAGAAAGCATATTCATACCTAGATAATAAAAAAATATAACATTACTAATCATGAACAAATGATAATTGGAAAGTGATCGAAGACCGTTATTGTGAAGCGTACCATTGACCAATGACAAGAGCATTGAGTCACCGAAGACCAAAAAATGTACATGAAAGAGAAACATTCTAGTAGCTCCCTTATTCCAAACTTCTCATGAATCTACAGTTAAATTTTTAACACATATTATATATAGCTAAATTTATTTGACTAATTAAGATAATTATAAGATTATAAAACACACAAGTTAATTTTCATATTCATAAATATAACCACTAGGGTCGGGATTCAAAACCCAACACCATAAACCCGAGCGCACTGTTGTTGGCTTATTCCCTCATGTTCTTTTTTGGAAAAATTATTAGGTGCGACGTTCGGAGGCTAATTCGGACGCGCCACGTCACCCAATGCACAGTGCATTGGATGACATGACACGTCCGTATTGATCTCCAGAAGCGTTCGAACACCGCACATAATAAACTCTCTTCTTTTTTGAGGGAAAAATTATTACTTGCGAAATCTATATGCAAAATTAAATTCTTATGTGTGAATGTACAAAATATACTATATATATATATATATATATATATATATATATATATACTGTATATTCTTGGACATAATAATTTATACTTTTGAGCACCTCGAACTCTTTTCGCTGCTTTCTCTCGCTACCGGCCTCGCCGAGTATCTCTTCTATTGCTAGCTCTTCTGCGAGCGAAGCACAGTTAATGGAAGAAGAGAAGCAGCATGACATTCTGGAAGAAGGGGAAATAGGCACAACAGTTGAAGAAGAAGAAGAAGAAGAAGAAGAAGAGCAGGAAAAATCGAACCCGATCAACGGCGCATCAACAGAGAGCTTCTTCGACGCGCATCCGTGGCCGGTGTTTAGATTTGACATTCCTCCTCGGAGGGCCTACCACTTTGCCCAACAGTTCCGAGGCGGCTCGAACCCTCAAAACTTCCTCAAAAGCGTCAAATGGTCCCCTGACGGCTCTGCTTTTCTCACCAGTTCTGACGACCAGTCTCTCCGCTTGTTCTACCTGTGAGCCCTCGCATCTCCGGTTATCGTTAAATTCCCTTTCCTCTCGAGAAATTTGACATTCTTGATTGGGTTCTCTCTTGTTCCTCGACCTTCCAGGCCCGAAGATGCCTACTTCAATACTGGAAAGCTCGAAGAATGTCAAATTTCTCAAGGTTTGTTGAGAATCTGGATTCTTGCTTTCTTTTCTCTGCTGTGGTTTAATTCGATGCTTTCTGATCTAACCCAAGGTCTGTGATGTTATTCGGCGTAATGGGCATTTCCTTTGTCAGATTCCTATTCTTCAGCTCTTACAGTGAATGAAGCAGAGATGGTATACGATTACTGTTGGTACCCTTACATGTCTATGTTGGGTATGTTAACATCATTTCATTACCTTTAATGTTGCAGTTCCGACTTCAGTGATACTAGTCCAGCCTATATCTTAGTTCTGCTTATTTGTAGATCCTACCACCTGTGTGTTTGTCAGCACAACAAGAGACCATCCTATTCATCTTTGGGATACCATTTCTGGTGAGGTAGCTAATAGCTATTGAATTTTGAATCTTTGTTATGAAGGATTGCTTTTGAATGCTTTGGTGTTGAGTGTATTTGTGTTGGTTTTGTTAGCTTCGCGGCACTTATAGGGCATACGATGCCATGGATGAAATAACTGCAGCACTTTCAGTCTCATTCAACACATGCGGTGCTAAGTATGAAAGATTTACTTTTCTTAAGCTTCTAATTTTGAAGTTAAGATATATAATCATGATTCTATAATTTTAGCTATGAAGGAAACACATGAATTGTGAATATTTCCATAATTTAGTCAATGAAATTATTGCCCAATCCAAATATTATTCATTGTTTGCATTTGATGCTTCAAAGTGGGATTTTTTAGCGGTCATTTGGGTGGCTGCTAATTGGAAGCATTGCAAATGAAATATTTTCTTTTTTTGATTGGTCTATATAACCTACAAAATTTGAATTACAATCAAGCATTGATTTTTTCTCGTGTCGCTTTCCTAAAAAACCTTTTTATGTAGACTCTTTGCTGGATACGATAAACACATCAGAGTTTTCGATGTGCATCGTCCTGGTCGGGATTTTGAGCAATATTCTTTGGCTAAAGTGGATGCCGGATCATTAGGTATTTGTCTATGCCCTTGTATGCCAAAATTTTTCCATTTTTTGTTTAAACATTCATATTAACATGCATACGTATGCATCAATATGAACCCTATTTGAGTGCCCTGGGCTCTCAGTTGCTTAAGAAAGGGTAGATTGAGTATCCTTGAAATCCAAAATTCACTAAGTGTATTCTTAGCTTTTATGATCCAACATTTGTGTTTATTATTATACAAGCACTTAAATTTTTTACTTTAATCACCAAATATAACATTTTATCTTTGCGATGCAACAATTTCTGGTATGTTATCATTTTTATGCATATTCTTGTTCTCATTTCAACAAAATTATGAAAAGGTTCAAGGTTTGAATAGTTTAGTGTTGGTTGAAAGAACTAATATTGTGCAAAAGTAATGATAATATTTTTTGACCATTTTCTTCCACTAATGAAAGAATAATTAATTTAAATTTGTCATTGTTATTTTGTGCATGTAGGTATTGCATCGTCAATTGCCTTTTCTCCCACTTATAGTGGGATGCTCGCAGTTGGCTCATATAGCCAGACTACTGCACTATATGCGGAAACTAACATGGAACTTTTATATGTTTTGCATGGTCAAATGGGTGGGGTTACCCAGGTTAGTTCAATTTGACATGCCTAATTTTTTTAGCAAAATTTAACTAGGCAACCTTTTGATTACGCTTGATCACATTTTTTATTTGCAGGTCCAATTTTCCAAGGATGGAAACTATCTATATACTGGGGGGAGGAAGGTAATCAAACATTAAACTCCTTTGTACACCATTTGCTTTTATTTTATTTTTTGTCCAGCTGGTATTTAAGTAGGAGAAAGCGAAGAAAATTGAAATTCTATTAACATCGAGGGTCTTTTTCCCCAAATTGTATCTTTGTAATTATTTATTACCTTCTTCATAGCAACACCAATATGGATGCAATACTCATAAGTTAGTGTTTGCTCAACTTATGTATACCATCATGCTTTAGCTTATTGAAACTTTCACTCAAAAGGTAGTGCACCTCGAGAAATAACCTGGGGCTGTTTAATCAACTGATGCGTTGTGAGTTCTTCCTATTGGATTATGTTGAGGATTGTTGGAAACAAATATATGCTCTGGAGAAACATTAATGAAAGTTTGTGGAAGATTCGTCCATAGGGGGTCAAGAAACAAGCTTTTTGATATTGGGAGTTTATCTTGAAGATGTGCAAACTCTTATGAAGCACAACTTTGGGCTTTTCTCCAAAATTGTTGATGAGTGCTGTCTCTTTTCTATTGTAAACCTCAATCAGGTCAATACTATAATAATGATCATAAAATGAAAAAGCCAAGATTGAAGGGGGAATACCCAAGAACCATCAGAAAAAAGGGTTTCCTTTCTTCAGAAGGAAAAAAATTTGGAAAAAAAAAACGAATTGGTTAGCCTTTCTTCCTTCAAAACTAGTGTTTAGTTTTATGATTGTTAGATCGCTGGTTACAGTAATAAAAAATGCTGGGAATTGCATTCGAAGCCCTTCCCCGAAAGATATAATAAATATTTTAAGAAAAAAAATGTTGCTGGGGTGGACAACACCATGCTAAGTCCAATTTACAGGACAAACTCATCTTTTTCTCTAATGACTATATGAAAGGATGTAGTGAATCAGTCGTTCCCCAATAAGGACACATGAGAGTAGTTGTTTTCCTTGATAATAATTGTCAAGCAAGAGGAGATTAGGGTTAATATTGTCAATGCTAGGTAGAACAATCTCATTTTTGCCAATGTAGTATAGAAAATTGTGTTGGATATCATAAGCTATCCTAATCCTTATCTTTTTGGTTAGATTTAGGTGGAGCCAAGATGAAAGTTGATTGCCAATGCTACTTGAAGCAATCACCAAGGATTGCGTCAACGAGATGATATGCAAGGTGATTCCACTTGAGATCTATCAAATTATCTTCATACTTCATACATTCGTGATAGGTATGCATTATGCCTCAACACTGTTATAAATAGTGATAACTCACAACGGAATGAAAGATATTTTTGCAAAAAAAAAAAAAAAAAAAAAAAAAAAAAAACCAACGTCTTAATGACAAATATTACACCAACTAGTTCATGTCTCCCTACCTTGGACTAAAAAAGGCGAAATGTAGGTGTAAAGGTTGATTGAGGAGTATGTACCACTCTTTAATGGGGCCCAAAAATTGCCACCAAAGAGGTCCATTAAGTAAGGCAAAGTGATGCGACAAAGTAGTCAGGGCTTGAGGCAGAATTGCTAAATCTATTGATATATAGAAACTTAGTTATTAAGATTAATTCCACAAAAGTAAAGATGATAAAGAATAGTCATAGTGACGTACATTTACACAATGGTACCTTTAAGTATCCAAAGACATTAAAAAGGAGTAAAGTATGTATCCCAAAAAAACAATAGGGCAAGAGCTTTCATCAGTGGTGGATTCTCCATTAGTGAAATACGAGCTTAAAGTGACACCCTTTTCTCAATTCATACAGGAAAATGATAAGATGAAGTTAGTGTGATGGGGACATCAAATCATCATGGAAAGTTTACCAGCGACGTGGCCGCCGATCTACGGCCACGATCGATTCGTTATATTTTTGAGTCGATGTATTTTATTTTCATGCATTTTATTATTTGCTTATGTGTGTTTATTTATTTTCCCTGTGTACCCTTTTGTATGGGAGTGGTCATGTGTAAGCCTAAGGGCATTTGTGTCATTTTTTATTTGGAGTCTTTTGTATGAGGCTATTTAAAGCCCCTTTGTTTTATTTTCAAGGTAATGAATGATTATTATGAGAAAATTTTCTTGCGCTTGAAGCATGTGATTTAGCCTACGCAAAGTACCCCTTTAACTGTTTTAATCGACGTTGTGAATTGCTCACAATTTTATTCCTAAATTGTTCTAATCAAAGAATTGTGCAATGTTTAAAATGAAGCCATAAACATATCCTCTAAGTAGTCCTGCATCATAGTGTCTCATTAGTTTTGGCAAGCTCGAAAGAAGATGCATTATTACAAAACTAAGTCAAACCAAATAGTTCACCCAATATATGACTTTGGACATTTGTAAGGAGTGCATTGGAACACAAGTGGGAGCCATGATTCAGTTATCCTAAAGATAAAATAATACCCAAATTCTTTGATTCGGGAGGCTCACAAATTTCTAGTTTTCAATAGATGTTTTAAAAATTTTTAAGAAACATTTTGAAAGATTAATTGCCAAACATAATTAAGTGGAATAGCTGGGAGGTTGGAATGTTAGCCTTCCTCCACCTAAAATTATAATTTTACATGAGTTAAATCCTTAAAAAGTGGGCTTGTGATATGGTGATCATATCATGAAGGGCATGGTCAATTTCGTTGTTTGCTTCTATGAGTTGATGATAAGAAGTTTCTTGCATAATTTCGACATCAAACTGCAAAGCAATTGGAAGATCCTATCTATTTCTTTGGTGAAGAGTGCTAAGGCTGTTGATTTTTGTATCACAATATCCAAATTGAGGATCTAGTCGTCTAAATGCACAAGCAAAGGCATATCATTCATTGAAGGCTCAGTGATCAAGATTAGGAGGTAGAAAACCTGAATTATTGGATATTTTAAGGTTGTTTTGAATAATATTGTATTTTGACTTCTAAATTATTGATAAGATTTTTGATAAGAAAGAGGGGTACAATGGAGAAGAAATGTCACCTACAAGAAGTGGAAAGAAATAAGGTATACCTTAACTTAATCTTTTGAACATAAGGGCCTAAACAAAAAAAGGAAAAAACATAAACTCTTCTTTGACTTTTAATTTTGAACTTAGTTCATAACGTTTAGTGAATATGATTGGTTTAATCTTCAGCGGTGTCAGTGAAGTAGCACATGATTACAAAGCAGTTGTGAACCTTGAGGGGTATGTTTATGATCATGGTAGAGGCTGAGGAATGAGTGATTAATGGTGTTGGTGTAGTAGAGGGCTTGCTAATAGGGGTGTCAATATTGGACACGACCCGAAAACCCGACTCGAACCCGACACGGAAAATTCGGGTTCGGGTCAACCCGAACCCGAATCGGGTCGGGTTCGGGTTAGAGATTTCAACCCGTTTGTAAAACCGGGTCGGGTTCGGGTTGACCCGGAATCAACCCGGTTTGACTCGGGTTCGCATCATTCATGGCGTCGTCTGCAGTTTGTCGCGTGACTCGCGTCGTCTGCAGTCTGTCGAATGGACGTCGCGTCCACGTCAATACTCGAGCGGCTCAAGCGGTCAAGCCCATAGGGCATTCCGGAACCGGATCCGTCGTCCACCCGACCGTTGACCGCTGTCCTCACACCGTCACTGCATCGCAACGTGCGAGACCGCTGCCGGCTGCCCGCGCGTGACCGCTGCCTCGCCGTTCGGCTGAAACCCGTTGCTGGCTTCGCTGGCTGTCCGCTTCCGCGGCTGAAACAAGTGGGTTCGGGTTGACCCAAACTTGAAGCGGGTCGGGTTCGGGTCTAGAAAATCGATCCGTTTGCAAAAACGGGTTGGGTCGACCCGAACCCGAACAGTGTCGGGTCAATTTCGGGTTTGACCCGAACCCGACCCGTGACCCGAAATTGACACACCTACTTGCTAACCCATTGAGTAAAGGAGGTACATTACCTTGATGTGGCTCTTGTGTTGAAGGTGTTGAGCTAGGATTTAGGTATAAGAGTCTTAGTGGGATATTCATTGTAGGAAGGAGTAGTCATGTGGTTGACATGGGTTTTTGAGCCTCGAAATAATATTCTTGTTGCTGTGGTGGCATTTAATAAGGTCATTTTTGGTAAGAAAAAAACATTCCAAGTCATTATTACCGGCTTGGATGCATGTGAGGGATGTGAAGGCAAACCCAAAAAGCCAAGATAGAGGTGCAACCATAGCTTCTAGGACCTTTATGTGGTTGCCAACACATTTAAGGGCATCACAAACCTGTTACTGCCACAAAGTTTCGTGGCCTAAATCTCCATAGTCCCTTTAAGAAGTTGATTGATGTCTAGTTAGCATGCCGAGGTCTCATTCGTTAACAAAAATAACTAGACAAATTGTTCCATATATTAAGAACGACCAAACACCACCACCCATAAAATTAAGAAAGAGTTCTCAGTTTGTCAATTCTTACTGTGTCTTGACTTGGTAAGTTTTTTTTTGTGTTGAGTCAAATTTAGCCATAGGCTCCACTCATAGTGATGCCTTTTCGTTAATTCCTTTAAGTTTAGCCTTGCGATCTTACTCCTGCTAAGGAAGCTATAATGAACCTTTTTAGGGGCTCTTTCATTTTTCTCTAGTATTTTCTCTCTCTAAGTTTTCTTAGTGAGAGAAACTCTTTATGGGAGGAGGTGACCGTCGGTCACATCCTCATTTATAGGCAAAAGTTGGTGGTGGGAAGGTGTAAGATGATACAGGTTGGGCAAATGTAGGTCAAATAGGTGGCAGCGATATGACAATAAAGACTGTTCACTTTATTTCATCGTTGGAAAATCATTATAGTGAGGAATGCTGCCCTTGTAGCACGTTTGTTATATCACAAGTGACACTTTTTGGTGGACAATCTTCTGAAGATAAATAACGACTGCGAGTCAATGGCTAGAGCCAACCTAGGATGTATTGAGGCTATGAGTAACTTCTTCGGTAAAGTAATTAAAGTTGAAAAGGAGAGGACGGACCTGGAAGCTAACCAAACATCGGTGGTCTCCACTGCTATAGTGGCTCAAACATAGGTTGAAGCTGGTGAACCAGCTCAGGTATTCAAAATAGAATACAATGCTGTGAGAATGGATGTTTGTAATGATGCAAATGGTTACAATTGGATGGAATCAGGTGGTAGCATGGAAATAAATTTTGAAACTGTAAGTCAGAATAAGTTTTGGTGCACTAATATGTGTAGTCAATAGCCATTAATGACAATTCAGCTTGTGTTCAGCGCCTATCAGATGCTCAACACAACGCCTCTTCGTTTCCCAGATTTTAGAACCTAGAAAAACCGTTCATCATCTAAACATCAACTTCTGTTACAACTGCATAGTAACAAACACCTCTCTAATGGCCCTAATGTCTTGAAAATGCCATAGGTTCTTGGCCTTGTTGCAGTGAATAAGTTAGAAGTTTTAGTTAATGATGCAATGCTTTTCCTTTTCAACTTCTGTTGCTTTATCAAAGCAGGTACCCACAATCTCAATGTATCCTGGGTCGGTTCCAGCTATTGATTGACAGTCCACCAAAGATGCATTACACACTATTGCAATTTTTCATCGAGGGAATCAGTTGAACAGTCTTTTTCACATTTCTGCTGTCACCTAGTTAACCTGCACTTGCAGAATTTGCATTCTCTTTCCCCTTCCTACCATCAACATTTGTCATCAGGTGAAGAGGTGGCTGACGGTTACCTTTTCCTATGAAGAGCTTTTCTCACTAGGATTACTTAGGGAGAGAAAAGACAATAGAAGAATGAAGAATCCCCTAAAAAAGTTCCTTTTGGATTATTCAAGGAGAGTAGTGTTGTAAGGATGAAACTTAAATGAATTAATAGAAGAGCACCAGTAGTGGAGTTTGTAGCTTAATTCAGCTTAACATGAAAAAAATTACTAGGTTTAGACATAGCAAGTATTAACAGGCTGAGAGCTCTTTTTTAATTCTAGGAGTGGTGGTGCATGACCATTCTTAGTTGGAGCAATTTGTCTGGTTAATTTAGTTGAGAAACAAGATCTTAGCCTGCTAACTGGCTCTGCGGAGTTTAACATGCGCAATTAGCTTCTTAAATGAATTATGGCCATTTAGATCATGAAAGTTTGAGACAATAACAGGTCTGATATGTGATGCTTTTTCCCAGGCAATAACACCCTTCTGCCATGCAGTTTCATGTTTAGGGAACTGACTATAAATTAACACTTTGTTTTGTACCTGGTCTTTCTTCTAATTTGGGGTTTAGGGCCTATCAAATATAATCTTGCTTTGTTGTTGAAGCCATCAATTGTACATGACCATGTTCTCTTTTTTGACACCTTATCCAATCAATTAACTGAACTTTAAGTGCATAGAATTTTTTATGCAATTAGGACAAGCATAAAATTTAAACAATAAATTTGTAGCCATATATTGTGCATAGAGTAACCGCTTGGGATTATTGATAAAGAGATATGTATGTTTTCTATGCATCTCTATGATGTTAAGATGTGCATCTTAATTTTTCTTAGATATTTCAGATCCCTAGAATTATTGAATCCAAATATGCTCAAATTTATTGCTAGTTTTGTTTGCTAATCCAAGCCAAATTACTATAATAAAATCCTTACTATTTTATTTGACCTCCATGTCCTCTTTGCTATTATAAAAGGCGATATGAATAATGAGCTGTTTTTAGTGTTCAAGTGTCCTATAATTGAGCTCTTAGGTTTGGGATAGGCGTGTTAAGACTTGTAGTGGCGAAAATGATAAAAAGTCTTCTACTGGATTTCTTCTTTACAAAGGAAGAAGAGAAAGATAGGTGGACTACTTCATGAATTGTTTTTTTCTTGTGTGTATGTGGGGAGGGGGGG